TGTTATAGAAGTAAATAAACATAAAAGAAGACGCGTTAATACGATAGTAGTTTGATTTAGAGGAAAAAGGGAGTTGAATCGACGTTTCTTCAATGGACGAACCACCAAGCATGTAGAATTTTGGATTTCACATTTACAAGTCTGACCGAGAACCTGTGCAAAGTTTCGAGGGGAAAAAAGGATCTTCTTATAAATTACCTCTCGGTAACGAGTCTCTACCATATAATCTTTTGCATTCTCTTCAAATATTTAAAAGTATGGGATAATTACGACTCTTTTCTCTCAAAATATGATACTACTTTAATACCAAGAGAGATTCAAGAAGTAAATTTGATAAATTTTCTTACAAACCAATGAAATAGAGTTTTACGAGTTTGACTAAGTTTCACGAATTTTAAAGACCCACCGTGGCTGATCATGACGATTAGAATGTTCCAATATGGCTCCTATGCTCCTAGGTTTGATTTCGAGCTCGATTATAGAAAAAAAAAACAAAACATAGAAACTATGGGGATTTTGTCTCTTCCAAATGAACTAGAAAGTCCACGTAAATATCCTCTAATTTTGCCACGAACCCAAAATCATGATTGGCCAAGAGAAGACTCGTAACCAACTGAACATGTATGTATGCCTAGCCAGCAAATGGTTCTATTTAGGCTCTATATTCTTAATTCCAAATTTTCATATCAATGGATGTGAACGAAGCATTTATTTAGAAATAAAAACTCGAATGATTTCAAAGTGTTTCAATCATCCACCTTTGTATCAAAATGATTATTTAAAATGTTTTTTCTCTAAAGCTGAATAATATTTTACCCGCCAATTCATAGCTTAAAAAGTGTCCAAATCATTAGGAGTTGCGTCCCAGGCTAGTCGATTGGTTGTTTGGTTCGTGCTTCATGATCTTGATTTCTGAATGGGGCCCACCGCGTTATCAGCAATAGAGACTAGTCAAAACAGGAGGAAATCGAGGGGGGAAACAATATATAAATAACTGAAAGGAGATTCAGAGCTAAACGTATGTCCTCCGCATGCATTTTCTTTTGGGTTATTGCTTCATATGCTCAGAGATAAAATGCATTACAGGGACATCTACCTAAGCAACAAGTGGCTAAATATTATACAAAATCCCACTCAAAATTATTTGCATCTTCATCTGCCATTCATCACCTCATCATGAACACAGAAGCCTCGCATGTAGTACTGCAAACTAAGTCCTATACAATTCTTAAACAAAATGTTCTGATGGTGTTTTTAGAAGAAAAAAAATTTCTAACGCTCATTGGTGGAATTTAAAAGAATAATATATCAAATTTTATTTTCTAAATTGCCGGGGTAGAATGCATTCATTTTATTTATTTATTTATTTCCATGCACGGGATATCTGAAAAAAGGAGATGATGAGAGCTTAGCAAGACAACAATCCTGCCTATGATGAGGATTCCACTCTTTTTTTTAATTCTATTACCCAATCTTATAATATTCGAAGTTGAAGTTGACGCCCTCACTAGTAATTTGGTACGATATAGAAATGGATTTTTCGTTAGATTGGCATCTAACTGTTGGTGTTGGGTGTGTAGACCAAAATCTGGGAATAAAATCAACAAGCAGCAGAAAAACCCTGATTAGTCGACTGATAGAGGAGCACCGGTTGACTGATTCGACTATAGAAAAACGAGCTTGAAATTCGCTCTGGTAAGTCGACTAATGGGAACTCATCAGTCGACCGATATCGTGCACGAAGCTGCTGAAAAGCCCTTATCAGTTGACCAATGCAAGTGCATCAGTCAACCGATATCAGGTCAAGCAGTTTTCTAGTCTGTTTGGAAATTTGTTTCGAGTTAGGGTTTTATATATTCTTGAATATTCTTTTGAGAGTTAGTGTACGAAAAAGAGAGGGTTTTGAGAACACTTTGAGAGAGAGAGAGAGAGAGAGAGAGATATCAAAGAGAGTGATAGCCGTTTGCAGGCATTGTAATCTTTTTTAATAATTAAAGAATTTATGGTGTGGCTCCCGAGGACGTAGGCACGTTTACCGAACCTCGTTAAATCGTGTGCTCTCTCATTTTATTTGTTCACTAGTAGGAAAATGAACAAACTAGACGGAACAAACTAGACGGAATTTTTTTCCGTCTACTTTGCCTCAAACTAGACGGAAAAAATTCCGTCTAGTTTGTTCCGTCTAGTTTGAGTCAATCTAGACGGAAATTTCCGTCTAGATTGACAAACTAGACGGTTTTTTATTTTTTTAAATTTTTTAGACAACCTAGACGGAAATTCCGTCTAGATTGACTCAACCTAGACGGAAATTCCGTCTAGGTTGTCTAGAAAATTTTAGCGAGCTTCCCCTCTTTTTTTTTCATTTCCCCGCCTATTTTTCATTTCCCCCTCTTTTTTCTCCGCTCTCCATCTACAAACCCCCCAAACGGCAAAACCCTCTCTCTCTCTCCAAACCCCCCCTCATCCCCCCTCCACCTCCATCTCCACCGAATCCTGCGCCCCTCCCCTTTCAAACCTCCCCTTTCCAAACCCCGCCTCCGTTCCCACCGCCGGTAGTCCCCTCCCCTTCCTCCGAATCCCCCCTGCCCCTCCCCTTTCAAACCTCCACCCTTCACTCCCTCTGACGTTCCCAACCTTGACGAGCTCGAGGACATCGAGGACGATCCCGATCTTGACGACGACCGGTTCCTTGAAGAGTACAGGTGAGTGTTTAGGGTTTTCTCTGTCGTTTTGGATTTTGATGTGAGATTTGTGGAAATTAGGGTTTTTTTGTGAGCTTTATATAACAGAGATCAAGCATCTAGTCCTTAGTCATGGGGAAGGAGTTAGGTGCATGATCTATCTTGTTTACTTAGTCCTCTTGGCTTGTGTAAATTATCCTTTTGTGCTACCATCTGAGCTATAACATGCATTCTATGCCAACTTTTAAGTTATTAATGTTTAAATTACTAATAGATGTTATATGTTTGCGGTGGCTATCTATCAGTTTTCGTCTATGAATTTCTATTTGGGTGATTTCCAGAAGGTTGGAAGGAAGCTCGACTAAGTAAGTAAAGTTTCACTTATTTTGCCTTCTTATTTTGCTTGCTTTTGCCCCATATTTTCAGGTTTAGATTAAACCATGATGTCTGTTCCTAAGGTGAATTTGACTAAAATTTTTTCCGTCTACTTTGAGGCAAACTAGACGGAAAAAAATCCGTCTAGTTTGTTCCGTCTAGTTTGAATCAATCTAGACGGAAAATTCCGTCTAGATTGACAAACTAGACGGTTTAAACAACTTTTTTTAAATAATATTCAACCTAGACGGAAATTCCGTCTAGATTAAACCATCTAAAAACACCCTCGTTTTTCATTTGCCCGCCTATTTTTTTCATTCCCCACCTCATTTTATTCCCCTCTCCATCTAAAAACACCCAAACCGACCAAATCCCCAAATCTCTCTCTCTCTCATCGCTAAAGACCTTTCCCCATTCCTTATTCGCCATTCTAATCGCCAAAAACTCGCCGACGATGAGATCTCCGATCGCGGAGAAGCCCCTGTTCCTTGCCGTCGCCGCCTACACCCTCATCGCCGACGCTCGCTCCTCCGCCGCCTTCGAATCCGATGGTTCCTAGTCTCTCCCCTCCCCTCTGCTCGCGGCCCGCGCCATTCGCGCCTCCGCCGCTCACCGCGACGCCTCCTCCGTCTCCTCCGCCTACGACGAGCCCCTCGCCGGAGCTGGCAATAGAAACCCTAAGCATCTCACGAGATCCTCCACCTACGCCACTCACCAGGTTCGTGTATGTAATTCTTTCTTGTAATCGCAATTTTGGAAATTTACGCTTTTTTTATATAGAAGAAGTATTCCTGACAAAAATAATTTGGGAATTAAGAGAGGGATCTGGTAAAATTTGTTGATTACGAGGGTCTTAGGTTGCGATTGGTTCCACTGGATTTCCCATTTGTTTGTCCTTTCCTTTTGCGACAGAGATTACTGCTTTCAGTGATTGCTATTCAGAGTTTGAGAAGCTAAATACAAAGGTCTTGGGTGATTTCAGATGTCACGAAATCAATTTCCAAATCATATGGAGTGTTGATTCCGGACCAGGTAATAATCAGACTGTCCATATTTATGCAAAGTTAATTGTTTTAGGCTTGTTTAAAGCTGAATTCCATGTTGACCTTAATTATTTTAGGCTTGTTTTGACAAAGAAAAGCAATTTCCAGACGAAATAATGGATAAATTATTACAGGTGAATTCTAGATATCCCCCTCATCAATATTTTCAGTAGCATTTATCACTTCACAACTATTTATTAGCTCTTAAAACACAAAGATTGGTGTTTTAAGAAGAATAAATTACAGAAAATCTCCCTCTCCCTCGTGAATCCAGAGGGGTGCACATTATTACTGGTCTTCATAGGTTTCATCTTAGTTGGTTGACATTATAATCAAATTATTATTTCTTTATTCTAAACTTTTGATTCATCCTACTTATTCCAGGCTCTGCAAACCCAGACGAAGTGTGCCCCGCAGGATGGAAGCCTGGGGAGAAATCCATGAAGCCTAATCACAACAAAAACATATATTTTGCTCTTCGACTAAGTAAGTAAAGTTTCACTTATTTTGCCTTCTTATTTTGCATGCTTTTGCCCCATATTTTCTGGTTTAGATTAAACCATGATGTCTGTTCCTAAGGTGAATTTGACTAAAATATTTAGTAGTGACATGATTGTATTTGAACCTAAGGTGGCTTGATGTTTGAATAGCTTTATGTTTCTCAGAAGTTGCTTCATCTGTCTATTTCAAACTCTTGAACCATTTAGTTACTGAGAATTCTGCTACCATTATGAAAAGCTTGTTCATATATATGTACACACACACACACATATCTATCAATCTACTCAAATACTCAAATTTTCTGAAGTCTTCATGAAATACTAATATATATAACTCATGATTTCCATTCATTTTAATTTTAGCCCTCCAAGATTTCAACTTGGAATCTAAATAGAAGATTTTCAGAATGCCCATTTGTAAATGGAACTGTTCAGCTCATTTTCAGAATGCTCATTTGTAGATGGATTTCCTTTATGGCATTCTTGAATGGCCTCTAAGAGAGAGGGGGGGGGGATGCTGTCAGAATTAAACAAGTTCATTTCTTAGCTAATGCTTATGTATCTTTTTTGGTCATGTTTCATAGTTACCAAAATATAAGTCTACTGAGTACTATTCTAGTATTCCTACTACTGCAATCAAAAGTTTGACTTGTGTGCCTAAGATTTATTTCTAACGGGTGTTCAATCTTTATGGAACTGGAGCTCGATGCACTTTTGGTACTCCTAATCTTGTCAAGGATCTAAACATGAAGGTAGCCACCACTTATAAATACTGTTTAATTCTGACAGCTGATACATGGCATATGCTGTTTACCTTTCATGTGTGACATGATAATGAAGTTACTAACAAGTTTATTCTATTGGTTATTGGAAATGAATACCAGCCACGACACGGATCAAAGCCCGAGAAAGTTGTGGGGAGAGGGAAGAAGGAGGTTTATTCGAGGCTTTGTCGGCATACTTTCTTCGATGGAGGCACAAAGGTATAATTTTTTTGCTTGATTTTATTAATTAAGTATTGCTTTGTATACAATTTCAGCTTTCCCTGACTTTATGAATTAAATGAAGAGCAATGGATTGCATTTCATATTTTCTATTCGTTAATTTTGTGGGCTTGATTTGCTTTCTAGAGGGTGTAGCTGGGATCTTTGTTTGTAAGCAAGGGAAAGGGATGTTAAAAGCGTTTTTAGGTTAAAGTTGGGGATTATATTTGGTTTGTGTTGGATTGAGAATTGTACTTTGAAGATATTTCATGGCATGGACTAATTGATGTTGAATTTTGTATAATGTAGGATCAAGGAGGAAGAAACATGATGCTTCAACAACTTGGAGGAGTAAATGAAATTGGATTCTATAAATTATGCAAAGTTCATTAAGTTATGTAACAATTGTATTCTTTATAATCAATCTATGTAAAAAATTTATGCACCTTTCTAGTAGTTTTGTGAATGTATTATTTGAATATAATTATATTTGATATTGAAATATAATTAGATCGATTGTGTTGGATATGAACATGATTTGGTGTTGTGCTATATTGTGTACATGTGATATTATATAGCGTGTAAGCGTAGATTTTGCCAAAAAAAAAAAAAAAAAAAACTACTGTAGCAGAGCAACCTAGACGGAATTCCGTCTAGGTTGCTACTGTAGCAATCCGTCTAGATTGCCTAATCTAGACGGAATTCCGTCTAGGTTGCTACTGTAGCAACCTAGACGGAATTCCGTCTAGGTTGCCAACCTAGACGGAATTCCGTCTAGATAGCAACCTAGACGGATTTCTTACTTCCGTCTAGGTTGATATCCGTCTAGGTGGTCAACCTAGACGAGATTCCGTCTATTACCCAATCTAGACGGAAACAGATTAAACCGAGCAAACTAGACGGAATTCCGTCTAGGTGTACCAACCTAGACGGGAAAATGAGCAATCTAGACGGAAATTTCCGTCTAGATTGCTCGTTTTTCTACTAGTGGTTCTTTCCTGCAAAGTTTTTTATTTTGCTATACTTTCTTGCTTGCTATTTATTCATCACAAGATCCGGAGGGCACGGGTTGTCGATAGATTAACTCCAACAACTGGTATCAGAGCTTCGTTCGACAAACATCTGTGTGAGAGCTATGGCAGAAGAAAGCAAATAGAAGATTGAGAAGTTTGACGAATCAGACTTCGCCTACTGGAAGTTTGATGGATCAGACTTTGACAATCATAGGAGGAGACAGACGAGGAGTGGAAAATACTGGATCGAAAAACTCTAGGGCAGAACCGGTTGTCGCTCGTAAAATCAGTCACCCACAACATATTGAAGGAGAAGATGACGGTGAGGCTTATGAAAGCGCTCGCTAAGATGTACGAGCAACCGTCAGCTATAAACAAGGCGCATCTCGTCAAGGCGTACTTCAACCTCAAGATGGCAGAAGGATACTCCTTCACGTTGTATCTTAGTGAGTTCAACATGATTGTTGATCAACTCATCTCAATTGACATCATGTTTGATGATGAAGTGCAAGCCCTACTAATACTATCGCAGATTTCGGATAGTTGGGCAGGTTGTGCGACCGTAAGATTCAGGTTCAGCCCTAAATTTCGAGCAAAGAGGCCGAAGGCAGAATAAGGGTAACAAGAACAAGAAGCGGTCGAAGTCGAAGAAGAAGAGGTCGAACTCGAAGGTGAGGCCTATCAAATGGAAGTGTTGAAACTGCGGCCAGGAGGGCCACATTGTAAAACCCCGTAAATTTTAAAAAAAAAATTGATTTATATTGATAAATGAGTTTTAATCATGATAAATATCAATTATGGATGTATGATTATGCTAACAATTGATTTGAGATCAATTAAGAGTATATATGAGAGTATACAAGTGACAAACACGCACACATGCACGGGATTTGAGTCTTGAAGAAGCATGTGATCAGTCGACTGATATTGACCATCAGTCGACTGACGGGTGGTCATCAGTCAACTAATGATAGGCATCAGTCGACCGATGAGCTTCCAGAGCTTGTGTAGGCTTCGTGTACGGGTCGGTTTTGGTTTTGATTCAGGCCCAGTTCTATACATAAGTATATATATTCGTTTCAAACCTCTTTCCTAGATCTTTTCACCTGATCAGCAGTCACCTTCCCTCTCAAACCCTAACCCTAATTTGTAATTTTAGGAGAGTTTCTGAGGTGTTTATCGAGAGGAAGGCGGGATTTGCGATCTCGATGAAGGAGGAGCTTGCACACACGTGTTTAGGAGTTCAACACAACGTTTGAGGCAAGATCACCTCCCTCCAAACATTCCCCTTAGTTAAAAATCAAGTTTTTATGTGATAATTATGTTTAATCTCATGTTCAGGGTTAATCTAATGTGTTAGAACCTAATCTATGATGTTAAATCTTACAAATCGTTGTTATAAACAATAAAATAAATCTGTAATTGTTGAATTTATATGATCATGATCATTAGGGTTAGTTTTAACATGTTAATTTCAGTTTAATTTAGTTTATATGCACTAATTTGTCGAGATAAATAAGAATTTAGTTAATTTGCATGTTAAACCCTAGATCCATGAGTTCATATTGATTTCATCTTGTTTAAACAAACCACTGGTTAAGTATCATGAGTTCTAAATTAGATATGTCAATAAAAATCCGAGTTCCTGAAGAAAATACACAAAAACCCTACTTGTGCACTTTTTGTCGATTCAGTCACTGATGATGCCCATCAGTCGACTGACAGAAGATCATCAGTCGATTGATGGCAATCATCAGTCGACTGACGGGCTCGTGTGTGCCTTGTTTCTGTGAACGACCAGATCAGTCGACCGAAGCTTTCTATCGGTCTACTGATCAGGTTCAAATTATGATGTTTGACCCTTTTACATGTGGGTTCGATGTACGAGCGCGTAGTGCAAGTCATGCAATATTCTATACACATATTTTGAGGAGTACACATACGGAGATTGAATATGTATAAATCCATTGTTCGGGATAGCCAAATAGTTTGCACTCGTTATGAGTAACAATTTGTGTAGTTAGCTTTTATTGAAGATGTTGAGTGGGGTTAGTTGGGGCATGCAACGAGACCGCGGATGGACTACACTTTGAGTGTGTTAGTCAGGACCGCGATGGATTTCACTCCTTTATGTATTTTTGGTCCGCACAAGCGTACGCAGAGGTTGTTGAACCTATGATTTGAGTCCGCATGGTTATGCGTAGAGGTTGATATGCGTATCTATCAGTCCACACGGGGTGCGATGAGTTAATATACCTATTTATCGGTCCGTACGAGGGTGCGATGAGTTGAAGAATTCCAAACAAGGACAGTCTGATAATTTGATGATAACTGAAGTGTAGGCGATTATTGACACTCGATCGATATGATATATTGTGAAGATATTTCACAACTGGGTTATACGAGAGAGTGTATCGATATCTGATTTGCCTACTAAGGGTAGTATGTGGAGTTGAATGATAGTTTCGAGAATGGTTGATGTGATTTTTCTTGTATTGTTTTCTTATTATTTTATTTCTTAGTTGGAATTTATATTTAGAAATTTATAACTTGAGACACATGGTATATACATGAGGGTTTTCTTATTTGGATTATTTCGCTCGACGTACTAGTCTCATGTTGTGGAATTCTAAATACAAATTTTATATAATACATAGTAAAAATAATTTAGGTAGACTATGCACTTATAGATAGAACATCCATCATACTTAGTAGCCCTTCCCCTAGGACCAGATGGAGATGATCTTGCTAGCGCTCTGACGCTATGGTTTTTACTTTTTTCAGGTAGTGGAACAGAGTTTCGAAGAGCCGCAGATTGACGGACTTTCAGTATAGTCGCTGTCACTTATTTATAGTAGCTTCTGCTCCACAGATGTTTAGTTTATATTTCTAGTTGATTCTTAGAGTTACATTATATTTTGAGAGCTAATGAAATATGTATTTTCAGTTGACTCCTGTGATTAAGATTAGTCTTTTTTGTATTAGATTGTTGGACATCTTTATTCTTATATCAGATGAGACTTGATCATTTCTGAGATTTATCTTTTTTTCTGTGCGTAATTTCCTACGTTCATCTCTTTTATATATGTTTGTACTAGTACAGTTTTATTGATTCCACTAGAAAGATAATTCTATGATGGTGAAACATATTATAGCACGTGGTTGTATTGCAAGTTTGACATCCTTAGATTCACCTCGGACTACAGCCTTGTGAGAACCCGGGGACGTCACACACATGTCTTCAGTTTGCAAAGCACCAAAGAAGGATATAAATGAGCAGGAGGCTCATATTGTGCAAGATGTATTGATCCTTGCTATGGATAGTGACATCAATTCATGGGTTATTGATTCGGGAGCTTCATTTCACGCCACTGCTAATATGAAGCTTCTTCAGAACTATGTAGCAGGAGACTTTGGGAAAGTGTACTTAAGGGTTAATGAGACTTGTAGTATTGTGGGAAGAGGCAATGTGCAGATTCAGATGAAGGGTTCTAAATGGTCTCTGAAGAATGTCAAACATGTACCGAAGCTGAAGATGATTCTTGTTTCGGTTAGCCAGCTTGGAGCAGAAGGCTATATTTCGACATTTACCTGGGATTCGTGGAAGATCTCCAACAGTACTATGGTGGTTGTCCGCGGTAACAAAACCATAACTCCCTATTTAACTTCACATGCGAGTCACATCCTCGCAATTGCAGCTGACAAGAAAAGTATAGATTTGTGGCACAATAGGTTGGGACATATGTGTCAGAAATGTATGAAGATTCTACACTCACAAAGGAAAGCTACCCGGCATTAATTCAGTGGAAGTTGGTGTTTGTGAAGATTGTATCTACGAGAAGCAGAAGAGGGTCAGCTTTCAGAAGAGTGGAAGACCACCTAAAGCTCACAAGCTAGAACTTGTTCATACAGATGTATGGAGTCCAGCTAGCGTGTATTCTCTTGGCAGTTCGACGTACTACGTCACCTTTATCGACGATCACTCGAGGAAGGTGTATGTATATTTTATGAAGCACAAGTAAGAGGTGTTTAGGATCTTCAAGAAGTGGAAAGTCATGATAGAGAACGAGACAGATCTGATGGTGAAGTGTCTGAGATCGTACAATGGTGGAGAGTATGAGCTGGAGGAGTTCAAGAAGTTCTAAAGTCTGAATAGGATTCGTTTAGAAAGGACTACTCCAAGAACACCGTAACAGAATGGTGTTGCATAGAGCATGAACAGAAAGCTGACAGAGTGTGCGAGGAGCATGCACCTACATGCAGGTCTACCTAAGATGTTTTGGACGAATGCGGTGCATACAGCAGCTTACTCGATAAATCATGGGTCTTCAGTTCTGTTAGACTTTAGGATTTCAAAAGAGGTTTGGAGTGGCAAAAAAATAAATCTCTCACACTTGAGAGTCTTTGGCTGCTTGGCATATGTTCATATCAGT